AAGACTAAAGGAGTTCAACAATTATTCTATGTTGAATAAATGAATAAGAGACAGAAATATATATATATATATATTGGTGACCATGCAGAAGAGATAGAATTGTAGTGTTCACTGGTCTTTTCAAAAACAGATACTTAGTGAGCATCATCTATGTGTTAAGTCCTGCACTCAGTGCTGGGCTGCCATGTGCCTCTACCAAGCCCCCTGATTGGGGGCATAGGCAGGTATTTTGAGAAGAAAGTACAAGCTGGTGTGGGAGAAAATGAGTCAGTACTAACAGTCTGCAGTCCTTCAAGGAAGGCTGCACTAGATGACTACTAGTAGAACCATGAGGAGATCTAGGCTCAATTCCCATCCTTGACCCACCTAGGCCTGTCCCACATCTCCTCTGTATGAGCACCCCCAAAGAGGTTCCCCAAAAACCAGAGATGGGCATCGTGAGCTGCCTGAAAATGCAAGCTCTATCAAAGCACTTGTGAGTATTCTAAATATTTATTCCTTCTTCCCTTTTTGCTTTTCTAAACTATATTTTCATTGAGGCTTGTGCTCATCTATCAAAGCATTATAATAAGTAGTCCTAATAGTGGAGAATACCCACAGTAGTCATTTGCCACATATGACATATAGAACATATGACATACATGGCAAATGACTACTGTGGGTATGTTAGAAAAATAAAATCACATGGGTACATTATGTGTGTATGTACATATGGGTGTATGTATATCATATAAATGTATGTGTGTGTGTGTGTGTGTGTGTGTGTGTGTGTGTGTGTATTAGTGAAATTGATTCTAAGGCTGAAAAGTCAGACCAGAAATGGGCATCATGAGCTGCCTGAAAATGCAAGCTCTATCGAAGCACTTGTGAGTATTCTAAATATTATTCCTCCTTCCCTTTTTGCTTTTCTAAACTATATTTTCATTGAGGCTTGTGCTCATCTATCAAAGCATTATAATAAGTAGTCCTAATAGTGGAGAATCCACTCACACACACCGCCACACACCGCCACACACCGCCACATACCGCCACACTCCGCCACACACCACCCACACACCACCCACACACCACCCAGTACCACTGTGGGTATGTACATATGGGTGTATGTATATCATATAAATGTGTGTGTGTGTGTGTGTGTGTGTGTGTGTGTTCGTGTATTAGTGAAATTGATTCTAAGATTGAAAAGTCAGTGGATCATTCTTGCCACACTCACTGAATCTTAAACCCTGGGTTTGCTACCTCAGAAGGAAGGCCTAATATTACTGAAATATCATGTCATTTTTATATACTCCTCCCATAAAATCAGAAAAGTACATTCTTCCCTGACTGGGGCATGGGTAACAATGCACCCTGAGAGACAAAGGAGTCCTTGAACATGAGCTTCCATTGTCTGGGACAAACTGCTCCTCACATCCCTCCGGCATGCCCTTCCCACTGCTCAGGTGAAGAGTTATAGCTGCTAAAGCCTGTCCCATGGAGACAGAATTGCACACCTTTTAATTTTCTAATACGCCAGCTACACTTTATGTGGCAGGTGCACCGCAGTATAAAAGCCGGCTTTTACTTTCATATATTTAAATACATTAGAGAAATCTATCAACGAAGCGTAAGCTTACTCAGAGTTGCTGCGATTCTGATGAACGGGGACTGAATTTAAACAATACAGCAGGTGTCAGGCCCTTCATGCTGTCAATAACTCTACTTTTTGAGGCTCTACGAAACTTCCCACATTTTAATTCAGTTACAAATGTCCTTGTGATATAAACTCTGCATAATTGACCTCCTTAGTTGGAGGAGTTCAATGCCTGACAACAAAAGAACAGAATCTAGCATTTTCCTTAGAGTCCTCCTAAGGTGCAGAACAATTGACTTGGGGCTGCCTGTATATACTGTCAAGCATAATGGAAAACAGATATCAGGTAAAAATGAAATTCCATGAACAATCCCCGGGCAGGGTATGGTAGATTCTTTGGGGTGTCTATCCAATCCAGGATCCTCCTCTTGTATGACAACTACATTCCCCAACAGATGCAGGCTCTGCAAGGAAATCGCTACCCTGTAAATCAGTGGTTCTCAACCTGTGGGTCGCGACCCCTTTGGAGGTCGAACGATCCTTTCACAGGGGTCGCCTAAGACTATCCTGCATATAGATATTTACATTACGATTCATAACAGTGGCACATTACAGTTATGAAGTAGCAGCGAAAATAATTGTATGGTTGGGTCACAACATGAGGAACTGTATTTAAAGGGCCAATAGAATGCCCATTGATCCTAAACAGTGAACACCCACTAGTTTTATCTGCTCAAAGATGTGGACGAAAAGGGGCCACATGCTGACAAGCTCAGGGAAGGCCTGCATGGAGGCCTCGCAAACTCAGAGACCTAAAATAACCCCAAAGGATGATCTGAAATTAAAACTTTAACTAAAAGCAGTTTATAATGGGTAGTCATGCCCTATAGCAGTATCTTCCCTGACAAAGTTTAACTTTGACCTTAACAGAGCATATTGTCTTTTTGCATCTAAGACAACGGACGTTTGGAATTTCAGGGTAACTTCGCATTTTCCAGAACCCTCAGGGCCCCACCAATGCACCAGAGTGAAGACCATAAATTCCCTCATTGTTGTTGTCATCATGTTATTGTTGGCTGTTAACTATTCTGTACCCATGGGTAGTCATGCCCTACAGCAGTATCTTCCCTGACAAAGATTAACTTTGACCTTAACAGAGCCTATTGTCTTTTTGCATCTAAGACAACAGACGTTTGGAATTTCAGGGTAACTTCCCATTTTCCAGAACCCTCAGGGCCCCACCAATGCACCAGAGTGAAGACCATAAGTTCCCTCATTGTTATTGTCATCATGTTATTGTTGGCTGTTAACTATTCTGTACCCACCTATATGTAAGAGAAGCATGTGTCGATTATTTCATCTTTTATCTAATCTCAGAGGTTTCCCAGCTTTGCCTTCTCCTGCCTCCCTAATCTATCACCAATAGAACCCACTTACTTCTCCTCCTTTGATTGTAAGGTATAAAACCAGGTAAAAATCTGCCATTCTCTTGAGAGCATTATCTCAGTTCTTTGAGATTTCTGCTTCCCAGCTCAAATAAATTCTCACAAAAAAATTCTTCACATGTTTGAATGTTTCTTATATTAACAAAGACCATTCCCTTCTTTTCTTAGTATAACCACTCCCATTTAGTGTGTGTGTATGTGCGCGCACCTGTGTGTGCACGTGTGTGTGTGTGTGTGTGTGTGTGTGTTTTGGAGATGGGTGATCAAAAGTGATATCAGAAGTTAACCATTGTTATGATAAGGGCACCAACAGATCAGAATAATATAGGAGAGGGCATGAGAACTATGTAAAATAACTGAAGTCAAACAAAGTTAAGTTAGGGGCCTGTTACCTGCTGCCTGACATGGAACTGGGCTGACCCGAGATTCAAGCGGATGGCAAGGCGCCTCTAGGACAAAGAAACTTCCAGCAAAGATTGATTAATAGCACCTTACCCATACCTTATGGTTTACCCATACTCTAAAGGGAAAGCAGATCACAAAATATAGCTTGTAAAGGAAAGCTTAACACCAACGTTTCCATGCCCTATTTCCTCATACCAGTAATTTTCCACAGGAACTACAAACAGATATAAGCTCAATCCCTAGAGAGACTTGGGGTCTCTCTTCCTTCTCTTGTGAGGAGAGTCCCTCACTCTATCTATGGAGTGGCTTTTCCTGTTTATCCTCTCTGCTCAATATACTTGCTTCTGCTTGAACCTCTTGTCTGATCCTGAAAGGGCGAGGGCTACGCCCTCTATCTTGCCCCAAATCCTCCATTTTTGGGCAGAGCCATGTGCTCAGCAAAGAGCTGCTTCCAGGAAGAAGCCCAAGCCTCTGCTAGCCACACCTAGGATTCCTTTAAACTAACCAATGATAATCAAGGGAAGTGCGCGCCATAGATATGACCACATCCTGTGTAACAAGACACCGACTTGCACCTGGCCAATTGGCAGGGCCCACAGTCCTTTCTTTTCCCCTTATTATAAAATCTCTCTCCCCACAAAGCTGGCTCTCTCTGCCACTTGCTGCTGGATCAGTAAGGAGGGTAGGGGAGCCAAGCCCAGGTTTGAATAAAAGACTCTTTGCTTTTGCGTTGGACATGGCTGGCACCCTGGTGTGATCTCTGGGCATAACAGCTCAAGTCTTAAATTCTTTCCTGCATGAAGCCAAGAATCCCTAGCTAGGGGCTCGAGTCTCCCTTAGGGACTTGCCCCTCTAGCATCTAGAACAGACTCAGAGCTTGACCCCAAGCCAGTGATCACTACATATTATCCCTGGGGTAGTTTTTATCCTCTCCCAGGTTCAGAGACTATCATGTGACCCAGGACTGGCCAATCAGAGGCAGTGCTCTACAGGCCTTCAGAGATTGGTTCAGGTATGGGCCCATGACACAGACTGCTCCATTAAGATCACAGATCAGTGAGAACTGTGGGGACCAACACTCATAAGGACAACCTAATTAACAGTTTAGCACAAAGATCTGACTGTGACCAAAGGGAGGATTGTATAAAGAAGTAAGGATCTGGCCTGCCTGCAGATAAACCCCAACCATGGCCTACGGCAGTGATGGTGAACCCTTTGAGCTCGGCATGTCAGCATTTTGAAAAACCCTAACTTAACTCTGATGCCGTGTCACATATAGAAATTTTTTGATATTTGCAACCATAGTAAAACAAAGACATATTTTTGATATTTATTTTATATATTTAAATGCCATTTAACAAAGAAAAATCAACCAAAAAAATGAATTTGCGTGTCACCTCTGACATGCGTGTCAGAGGTTCGCCATCACTGGCCTAGGGGAACTGAGAGCAGAGGAAGGATGGGTAAAATAACCAGAGATCTCACCTTCCCACCTGGGAAAAAGGGGGTGTGGGAGAGCAGTGGTGGGCATGATTAAATAACACAGCAATCATTAGCTCCGTTTATCTACTTACCTCCAAAGCGAGCTCTCAGTGATGCTCCCCAGGTTATAGTCGTAGAGCTTTGTCAAAATGAGAATCACCTGAAGGCAAAAGAAGAAATCATGGTTAGTCTCAAACAATTACAATCTCATGGAAGGGAAATGGCCCAAGGGAGGGCTTAGGATTCCTTTAATGGGTGCTTAACATAATTGAATGAATTGTTACTGCATTCCCTTATGCTGACTGGGGAAGGGTTTGCCAGTGCCTTCCATGAAACTGCTCAAGCCTGATCCCTTCCCCAACTTTCTCCCTTCCACTTCCCCAGCAAGTTACCTGAACGTCTAGACCAGGGGTCCTCAAACTACGGCCCGCGGGCCACATGCAAATACAAATATTGTATTTGTTCCCATTTTGTTTTTTTTATTTCAAAATAAGATATGTGCAGTGTGCATAGAAATTTGTTCATAGTTTTTTTTTTAAAACTATAGTCCGGCCCTCCAACGGTCTGAGGGACAGTGAACTGGCCCCGTTTAAAAAGTTTGAGAACCCCTGGTCTAGACCTTTCTTACCCTGGTGGGCTTAACACCTTCCAGGAAGACTTGCAAAGCTCTGAAATATGCATCCTGCAAGGTAGCCACTGAGCTGACGGTTTGGAGAGCGGAAGGTCCTAGAAGCTGTACCACACGGACAGGTTACTTAGCTTCTCGGAAGCTATCCCCCAGAAAGGGTTGCTGTGAGGAGTTCAATTAGGTAAGAAATGCAAGTTATCCTGGTTTAGCATGAGGTTCTTAAATGTTAGTTCCTTCCCTTTCTTCTCTGCAGGCCTGGCTGTATCAGTTTCTTCTCATCTCCCAATATTGGGAAAGCCATTGCATGACAGAAGACCCAGGAGCTAAGCAACGACATTTAACAGGCTCCACTCTGTGTTTTACGGGGTCCTGAAACCTATGGAATTTGGGGAGCCCTCCAGAAGAAATAGGATATAAGGTTTGATTCCAAACTTAAAGGCAGGTCCTGGAAAGGGACCCGTCCAATGAGAGGCACTGAAATGCAAGCTTCATTAACGTCACAGTGAATCTTCCTCTGATTCTAACCTATTGCTCCCTCAGAGAAACCCAAACATTTCAGTTCATTCTTTCAGAATTCAACAAACACTACCCATTTATTAGGAGCCTGGAATGTTGCCTAAAGCCAAAGGAAAATACAAATGCAGATGAGGCCTGGGAGTCTGTGGCCCAGTTAGGACAGGAATGAACCCAGGCTGGTGTGGCTCAGTGGTTGAACATCAGTCTATGAACCAGGAGGTCACTGCATGACTCCCTGTCAGGACACATGCCTGGGTTGTGGTCTCAGTCCACAGTAGGGGAAGAATAGGAGGCAGCCAATCTATGATTCTCTCTCATCATTGATGTTTCTATCTCTCTATCCCTCTCCCTGAAATAAAAATATAATTTTTTAAAAAAAACCACAAAGTTGTTAGAGAGCTGGTATACCTCTTCTCAGCCCCACTGAAACTCATACCCAGTGTGGCTGCCTGTTTGGGCACCTGCAGCAATGACCAGGGTCCACCTGGTGATGGAAAGTCCATGAGCACCAGAGAGCTTGGGGAGACTGAACAGAGCAGTGTGCTCCTAAGCACTGATATCCTCACCCCTTCTTCTTACATAAGGAAAAGAACCAAATGGGACACATTGTGGCCCTCGAGTCAAAAAGTTTGCCCACCCCTGACCTGGAACATCTGGGCCAGTAACTGCTGTTTCCAACTCAGGAGAAAAATGGTGACATCGATTTCCAGGATTTTGTCTGCAGGCCAAGGGATCCGTTCTAGCCTCAGTGAGAAGGGAACATTCTAACCTTGATTTTCAAGGCAGCGCGCTGCCAGGAGTGCTGAACCCTTCCAGGCCGCACTCTGCTAGCACTGGCCTTGATCTACTTAAGCATCAGGGAGAGATTCTGAAGGCTCCTTTCTCAACAAGCAAACTGGAACTCCAGGACTTAGGTTTGTTCCAAGTTCAAGGGAATGCTGAGGATCTGGGGACCTGGGCTCTAGGGCCTCTCCTCTCCTACACCACCACACAGGCTTCCTTCAAGGAGCTGTTCAAAACTTGCTTCTTTAGCAAAATGTGAGCATGTGTGAGGTGCTAGGCACCCTGTGGGCACATCAGATGGCATGCCTACGGTTGGGGCATATGTTTAACAGATCCGGGTGCCAATTAAATCGCTCTAAGTGCTAAATTTCAATCACCGCCATCCCAGGAACACTGATCAGTGGCAGCAGGGTGGCTGTTTGTTTGAAGACACAGAGCGATGTTGCTGCTCCACCTCGAATAGGCCTCTAAATCCCCCGCGGAGGAGATGGGAGCAGTGAGGGCATAAAGCATCTCCAGGTAGTTGCTCTCTTGATACAATACAGCAGCGAACAAAATAATGATGTTCAGCTGGTCACAGGCTGGGTCTCCCATCCATCTGACAAGGGAATTCGGAGGAACCCCAGAGAAGGAACCCTTTAACCCGGCATGCGATGGTGTGGGGCACCCCACCCACATGAACAGCAATAGGTGAAGCCATTCACAGCAGGCGGGCGTGGGGTACCAGTGACTCCTCTTACTGGGCTAGTAAAACAAAAATGCCAGTGATAGGCTCCGGCAGTTCATCAATACTGCACCTGAGAGGTGTCCTTCATGGTATTTCAAAGCTTATAGGCTTGAGTCAACCTGATCTGTTTTCAGGATGGTTACAGTAAGAAAGAAGGGAGAACTTCTAACTTTTCCATATGTTTTCAATCGATTCCTTGAAATCTCTCCCCTCCTCTTTTGTCCCTTTACTGTCCATGTGTGTTATTTAGTGTATTAATCCTGGATAGTGATGTGCCATTATATGAGTTCTGCTTTGCTGCTGTTTGCTTGCTTTTCTGTTCTGGTTTATCAGTGATACCATTGGACAGAAGTAGCACTACCCAAACCACCACCATTAGATGAGAAAATGGGAGGAATGCAATCGCCTGCTTATTCTGGTCCTACTGTCCACCATGTTTTGTGTACTTTTCAAGCTTAAAAAAAATCAACAAAACTTTTTAAGCAGGTAAAATGTTATATGTACTAAAATAATATATAAATGGTCATTTATTTTTATTCATTCAGCAACAAGTTTCATGTAGTGCAGAGTTAGTTCAATGTATCCAAGTCCAAATGCATAGGATTATAAACCTAATCAGTGAGAGCAAGGCTGTTTAGTTAAACACATTCACACAAAATGGAATCTCCACCAGCATCTCATTTCTCTATATCTGGTTTACACTATTTAGTACCAAAATTTCCCTGATTCAAAACAATAAATGGTGAGCTATATGGTCACAGCTTTTTGGGGGTTCTTCTCTAGATCATAGGACATTTTAAATAGCTATAATCCAAATATCTATGGCTTGAAAATTTCTGCCTACATGGTACCAGACTTCAGTGCCCAGGTATTTCTAGGATCTTTCACAATTACATCTCCAGGTAACCCCCAGGCAGTCTAGGAGCTGCTGTCACCACAGGCCATCTGTGCTGTTCTTTGGCGGTGGCTCCATATTCATTGCTTACGAAGCCTCCGGGGGAAAACTTCCCTTTGTCCATACTTATAAGAAACATGAGCACCCACAGAGCTGCTATGCAAGGCACCCATTTCTGAAAGAGGGGGAGGGAGCCGGAAACAGTGCCAGGCTCTGTACAGGGACCAGTGAGGGTCTTCAAGGGAGTGAGCCTGGGCATCCTCCCCAGTGCTGAGTCCAATTTGTACCATCTGTGCTCACCAAGTGGTAAAAATTATTATCCTTCTTCCCCAGGTCTTCTAAAGTTCCTACTGAATCACTACCAATGCCAGCCTCTCCCCAATCACCTCTGTACACAGGTGTGAATGAACCATCACATCAAGAAAGTGCTCATTACATTTCAGACACAATGGAATATTATTCAGGCATAAAAGGAAGGAAACCCTGCCATTAGCAACAAGATAGGTAAATCTTATTTCTAAGTGAAATAAGCCAGATGAAGACAAATACTGTACAGTTCCCCTTAAATGTGGAATCTTAAAAGACAAATAACAAACAAAAATGATTTTGTAGAAACAGAACAGAATGGAGGCTGCTAGGGGCTGACAGAAGGATTAATGGGGAGATGTAGGCCAAAGGATGCAAACTTTCAGTTATGAAAAGAACACGTTCTGAGGAGCGAATGAACAGCATGGTGACTACAGTTAATAATACAATACTGTGTATTTGAAAGGTACTGAGAGTAGATCTTAAACATTTTCAGTTAAAAACAAACAAACCCTCAGAGCCCTGGCTGGGTAGCTCAGTTGGTTAGAGAATTGTCTCCATGTGCCAATGCTGCAGGTTTAATGCCTACTCAGGGTACATACAAGATCAAACTATGAATGTGTAAGTGGAAAAACAAATCTATATGTCTCTTTCTGTCTTTATCTCTCCCTCAAAACGATAAAAAACAGAGTTAACGATGTGAGGTGATAGATGTGTTAATATCTTGAACATGACTATCATCCCACAATGTATATGTATATCAAATCATCACATTGTACACTTTAAATATATATCATTGTATTTGTCAATTATTCCCTAATAAAGTTCTCAAAGAAAAAAAGACCATCACAGAGAAGCCTGGGGGTGGGGGGAGGGTGAAAAGGGAAATGTCAATCCTCTCTTACCCCAAACTTTTATCTGTGCTCTGTGCCAGAAAATAGCATTCACAAAGATACCAGTATATTGAAGACTAACAAGAGTGTTCTAGTATAAACCAGCAAACGCCAGTAAAATACGTTGTCTGGTATCGAATGGCAGGCAAGCCCTATTTTCAGCGATGCACTAGAATGAATCAACAGGGCAGCAGACCAAGGTCCTACCCTGAACTCCCCATTCTGCCAAGTATTAGACATGTGACAGCTTTGAATGCAACAGTAGAGCTTTATTTTAATGAACATCCTATATAATAAAAGCTTCATATGCTAAGTGTCTGGTCAACTGTTCAACCAAAGAGTAATATGCTAATGATATGCTAAGGCTGCTCAACTGCTCACTATGATGTGCACTGACCATCAGGGGGCACAT